GCTGGGGGGGCCCGGGGGCGGCGGGGCGGGCAGGGACAGGCAGGGGCTGTGCTGGCCCGGGGCCGCTCTGCGCGGCAAGCGCGGGCGCAGGCTGAGGGGGCGCTGGCGTGTGCCCGCAGGCAGCCCGGCGCCGGAGACGGCGGCCGCGGGGACGGCGCGCTCCTGGACACCGCCAGCCTCAAGATGAGCGACCTGAACTCGGAGCTGGTGCCCTTGCCACCGCGGTACCGCTTCCGGGACCTGCTGCCTGGCGACCAGTCCTTCCAGAACGACGACAGGTAGGGCGGGGGTCGGCGCGCGGACTTGTCCGTGGTGCTGAAGGCCGCCGCTGCGCCCGCGCTGCCTGGGGCCCGCGCCCTTCAACTTTCCCGGGTTTCCGGGACCCGGAGGAGTTGGGGGGTGGGGAAGGTGGGAAGCGTTTTCCCGGGAGGAGCCTGGACGATGGGACGGGAGGCTCAGTGCTGGGGAGTCCCAGAGACCAATCCCCGGGCCAGCCTCCCCGGCTCTGCCCACAGGCCCCCAGTCCCGCTGGCAGCTCTGCTGACTTTGGGCACAAGCCAGGGCCGGAAGCGCCACGTGGTGAAGCCCCGCAGGCTGGCTGAGGGCTGGCGTCCTCCAGACGCTGGCTGTGGTCATTTATTATTAATTAAGGGAGCTCATGTTGTGGTCACTTACCAGGGATGACAACGTGCCCTCACCTCGGATTCTCCCGGGGGGCACAAAGCAAAATATACTTGAGGCTTTTGGCAAAGGACCAGCAAAATGAGCCCTTGGAAATAATTCATGTGCTGAGGAGGCTGGCAGGAAGCTGGGAGAAACGTTGCTTTTCTCTGCCCTTTCCCCAAATAGCTGTCTCAGTAAACACCCAGCACCATAGCTCTGTCAGCCTTGGGGGAAGTGCTTTTGTGCGTGCAGGGACTCAGGCTGGAGCCTGTGGGGCTTCGGGCCAGAACCAGTTCCCTTGCCGCGTGTTGGGGGAGGGGCCCCGGTGTCTGCAGGTCTCCTTCCCCACCAAGCCCTGAACTGGGCTTGTGAATCTGCAGTTGTCCCAACAGTGCAGTTATTAAAGTTAGCACATAAAGTCCGTGAGGTTGAAATTCGTCAGGGCACAGATGAGGCTCTCAGAATAATCCACTGCCGGAGCTGCAGCTGGGGAAGAAATTGTGCTTGTGAAGGAGGCCAGTGGGTAAGGACTGTGCGTGAGACTCGTGGAAAGTGAGTTTAAAATCCATTCTGCCTGCCGGAAACAGAATATCCTTCCAGACCTCCCATAGCATTCAGTTGCATTCTCCAGGTAGAATCAGGAGGAGAGATGGAACCCAGGGTCTTCACCCACATAGAACCAAGGGTGCAAACCCAGCAGAGGGGCACGTTAAGGCCGTGTAGTTTTATCTTGTTGGACTGAGGTGGTAATAGGTAAACCCACCCGAAAACACACACCCAGGTGAAGAGTTCATTTAGCTACCTGGGTGGGCAGAGGCAGAGGAGGGCAAGGCTGGGCACTTCTCTAAGCCAGACGTGAGCTCTGCACCTTCCTAAGTCAGCACCAGGCCCTTACTGCCTGCTCCGCTGGGACTTGATTAATTCTCGATAACAGCAGCCCCAGAGGTTCTTTCAGAGGCGGGCAGGAAACGGCATCCGTCTCCCCGAGTGGGCCTGGGGCCTCCAAATGCTCCAGAAATGCCAGTGACTGCAACTGATGTAATTGCAGTGACACATCCCGTAGATTTTAGGAGTGGATGGCAGGTCCTTGCCGTCAGCCAAGGGTGGCGTGTGTCTGCCTGGAGGGAACTGTCCTTGTCCCCTGGGAAATGGGAAGCTGGCACTGAATCCTCCACCGTGCTCCGGACCCTGTGGCTTGGGGGGGGGTTTATTGTGGTAAAATATACAAAACCTAAAATATAAAGTGACATTTGGTACATATGCATCATCACCACTGTGTAGTTCCAGAGCATTCCATCACCCCAGACGGAAACCTCGTACCCGTGAGCAGTCACTGCCCTGCAGCTTCTGGCGACCCCCCAGTCTCTGTTCTCCTCGGCCTTGTTTTCAGGGGGAAAGTCTCCTGTGTGCTGGGCCCAGGGACTTTGTGCTTGTGTGCTCATGGTGTTCAGAGACGGGCTGTGTGTGTGTGTATGTGTGTGTGTGTGTGTGGCGGGGGGAGTCCTCCAGAGGACAGGCCCCCGCGGTCCCCGGGCAGGCGTGGGGACCCTGCGCTGCGCGTGTGGAGACCCTGCGCTGCACGTGTGGAGAGGTGGTAAGGATGTGTCTGTACGTCAGGTGAGGGAAGGGAGCAGGCACTGGGGCTGAGAGGCTGTGGGGCGGCCGGAGGGCCTGAGAGGCTGGAGGCCAAGGAGGCCAGCCTGCCCCACCAGCAGGGCCGTGTGCTCTCAGCCCGTGCTTCCGTGTGCCCCAGGGACAGTCCCACAGAGCCTGGGGCTGGGCCGGGGCCGGTGTCCTGGGGCTGCAGGAGGAAGGGCCGGTGGCCTGGGCGAATCGACACTGCAGGGGGGGGTGTCGTGGGTCCAGGGAGTAGAGCTGTGCTTGCTGTCCCGCGCGCGCTCCTGGGTCCCTGCTGCCTGGGCTCCTTCCCAGCCCCGCTCACGCGCCCCGGGGCAGCTTCTGTGGGGTGAGCGGGGGCGCTGCTGCCCGACTCCTGGCAGGCTGTGGGTAGGCGGCCAGGGCTGTGGGCTTCCTGTTCTCCAGGGGAATAAAGCCACAGCCATGAGTCACCATAGCCTCACACACCGTGGCCTTGGGGGGGGGGGCTCAGCCCCACATGAGCAAAGGAGACTGCTGGCCAGCCTCTTGCAGGGGGGGCAGCGAGGAGGCAGGCACAGCCAGGACTGGCTCACCTTCAGGGGTCAGCCAGGGTCCTAGGGGACCCTCATCACTGCCTGTGGCCGGGTCTCAGGGCTCCTGGGGAACAGGGCTCTAGGCAGAAGCCCTAGACCTGGACCCTCCAAGGCTTGGGGCTCGGGGCTCCCTGCCCTGTCCCGGGTCAGCTCACTGCCCCTTCGCCCCAGGAGCCAAGGGGCAGCTCCAGGAGGCCCCTCCCCATCCACAGCGGACCCTCAGGTGCACCTGGTCCTGGGGGATGGACCTGGGGCTCTGATGGCCCCCTGCGGGGCTCAGGGGCTGCAGGCCTGGCCAGGCGGTGAGCCCCCGCGCCCGCTCCGCCTCCTGCAGAGGGCCGATGGTGGCCCGGCCTGGAAGAGGCAGCTGCGAGGAGAGCGGGAAAGGGCTTTGCAGACGGGGCTTTGGTCGTTGTAAGTGTTGCTTCCTTTCCTGGTCTGTAACGTGGACACGAGGCTTCAGCCAGCTGCCACACCTCACACCCTCTCTGCACTGTGCTGCGGGGGGCACGGGCTGTCCCACCACAGGCTCGTCTCCCACGAGGGGTAGAACCGTCCAAAGGCTGGGGTGGGCAGAGCCACAGGTGAGGAGAAGGCCCGGCCAGGTGTTCTCCTGGCCTGCATGCCGGGGACCCGCTGCTTTCCCCAGCTGCCTGTCCAGCCAGGACCCAGCCCGCAGCGGGAGGTGACGTCAGGGTCCGTGCCCCCCTCGCCCCCAGGCATCTAGTGGAGGACGGGGTGGGGGGTGGGGAGGTGTGTGCGCCCCTCTGGGGGCTCCGGGGCAGCGCGGCTGCAGGGAGGTGAGGAGGCCAGGCCTCCAGGGTTAGAGCGCTGCCCAGAAGGGCCCTGTTCCGTGTTTACCTGAGCTCTTCCAGCAACAGAGGATGGAGCCTGGCTGCTGCTGTGGGATTGAGCGGCACCCCGTGTTGTTTCACCCAGCAAGCCGAGAAGTGGGGAGGCAGGCCTGCGCTGCGGGTGGCGCCCTGAGGACAGGCCCCTGCCCCGCCCTGCAGGAGCCACTGTTGGCAGCCATGGCCCCCAGGGCTGGACCCTCCAACCCCTGGGCTGGGCTCCAGGAGGGGCAGGCAGGGCTCAGAGAGGTGCCTTTGGAGCAGGCCCAGCCCCCCGGGGTCCCCTGGGTTCTCCCTGCGCGGGGGCTGAGTTCAAGCCCCTGTGGTATTACATTTAAACTCCCAGGGCCTGGCTTCTGCTCAGCTGCAGTCAGGATGGGGCAAAGGTGGGATCCCGGCCCCATCCTGGCCAGGGGCCTGTGTCCGTCACAGACCTGAAGGCCTTGGAGGACACGGCCCACCTGGGAAATGGCGGTGGCCCAGGCTGGTGGGGCCCAGGCAGGTTGGGGGTCCCCTGCCACCTTCAGCTCCATGCAGAATAGGACTGGATGGTGCTGGGGTGCAGGGGACATGTCGTCCAGCACCCCGGAGTGTGGGTCTAAAGCCAGACGCCACACCTGCCCCCACAGCCCCTCCCCAGCCCAGAGCAGCCACCTGGGTGTTCAGGCCCAAGGCCCGGGGGTCCTCCTGGACCCCCTCCCTGCGTAAGTTGGTCACCCCTGGGGCGGCTGCTTCTGCGCCCTGGACAGCTGCCCACCCTCACACCAGCCTCTCCAGTGGGCCCCCAACACTCCCAGCTTCCTCCGTCGCCCAGGCCTGAAACGCTTGTGCTCACCTCCGCTCCCTCCCACCTGAGCCCAGGGTCCTTCACCTCCTCCCGGGATCCGCCCACATCCTCCGCAGCTGTGCGCCTTCTCCCATCTGCCTCCGTCTCTGCAGTTTCTGACTTTAAACCATCGACAGAACAGTGGCGAGCACGCTGGGTGCATGGACACTGGGAGCTGACCCGGACTGCGCCAGGCGGCTCTCTCAGTGTCCCTGTGTCTCTTGGGGACTCACTTTCCTCTGTCTGCATGATTAGACCAAGGAAAGGCTCAGGTCCTGGCCGATTCTGTGTGCTGTGTCCCAAGGGGGTAAGATTTATATCGATCTTTCTAGCACTTTCCGGGCCTGGGGCTCATTTGCCTGCATCTCTGCCACACCACTGTAGGACTGGGGCCAGGTCTAGTTCTCCCCATTGTCACCTGGGGCCCCCCCGCAGAGAGTGGCCAGGGCTCCCAGGGGCAGGCCGCGCCTTCCTCCAACCCTGTGTCCCTCCCTCTGGGTGGGCGTGTGGGGGCTTGGGTCACCCCCGGTCCTGGGAGGCCAGGAGCAGGCAGGATAGACAGTGAGAAGATGGAGGATAAAGGAATAAGAACAAACAGGACGGGGAGGGTGTGGGTGATGGAGGGGCACACACACGTGTGAGCAGCGGTGTGGTCGCCTCCACACCGGCCCGTGGACACCAAGACAGGTCGGCGGACCTGAGTCTACACCTGGAAGACAGCCAGCTCTCAGTGATCCGGGATTAGG